TTCTCAATGGGAACAAAATATCAGCACTTTGATTCTTAATCGAAGACAAATTTAAATGTCTGACTGTACGCTCGTTTGCACACTTATTCTATAAGAATAAAGTGGACTCGTGTTCGTTTATCACCTGTTCTATATATAACTATTTAATGACCCTATTAAGTTACATACCTCAAAATAAAATCACGTTATTTTTATATTTGTATTATCTTGACTAATCAAACAACATCATCAATATGTCTCTTTTATCATTAATTAATTAATTACTGCCATCTGCCAGTCTGACTACTGAACATAGGCCTCCGCTAAGGAATGTCACAAAGCACGGTCTTAAGCAACCTCCATCCATCGGATTCCTGCATCTCCGACCAGTGATCCATCTAGTGGAAGGGTCGCCCTACACTTGACTTACCGATACGAGCTGCCACTCGAGAAGCTTTCTTTCCCATTCGATTATCAGTTCTCGGAGCTATATGGCCAGTTCATCATCACTTAACATTTATACGTTGGGCTATGTCGGTTACTCGGATTTTACTGCGAATATTCTTATTCCGAAGATTATTACACAGAAAAGTTTCAATAATAGCCCTCTCCATAACTAGTTGAGCGACTCTAAGCTTCATCTTACACTGTCTTACGCCATTGTTGTATTGTTGTAACCCTTAGTGTGACCCAAAACGTAACACAATTTCATGACATACAGCCATAACATCAGAGAAAAGCTGACTAGCGAGAGAACTTCTTTATTTTTCTTGCAACAATTGCCAGTAATATTATTGAATGCATTACGGAAGTTTTTATTGCCTTTTTATAACAAGAATAATAATAGTAACATTATTAAGAATTAAAAAATTAAGAACAATGGCATAGCAATGTATATATGCCATTGTTCTACCCTAATAACCCTAACCTAAAATATATATAAAACATAAACTGAACTTATTTGAACTTAGAGCCGTGGCGGCTCAGATGGTTAGGTTAGCGCTCGCTGTAAATGTCACAGTACGCGAGCAATACGGGTTCGATCCCCGCTGGCAACAATAAAATTTTTAATTACAATTTTAAGCGCTGATTTACCACGTGCTCGGCGGTGAGGGTAAACATCGTGACGAAACCTACATGTCTGAGAAAGAAGAAAAAAATATTTCGAAGAAATGTGAAGTTCGCTAACACGCATTGGGGCAGCGCGGCGGACACTTCCTTGTCCTAAAACCCTCTCAGTAATGAGAGGAGGCCTGTGTCCAGCCGTGGGACGTATATTCCATGCTGAAACTTTAAACAGAACTTAACACTTTTAGGGAACTTTCTTCGTTGGTGCATCCCGTGTATCGGTGAAACATTACCCCGGAGGGTCACAAATTGGGAGCGAGGATTGTCTCTTTGTATTTTGCAGGAGCCTGGAGTACGTAGGGTTTAGAAGTTCGTTGACCTAACACTCCAGACGCAGCAAATGTAAAGAGATCGGATCCTCAATGCGGCATCGGCTTCGATCTTCCACGAAACGCAGGACGTCTTCTCCCGACGTATTTTGATTCAAACATGACATGTTGAATTGTATGATGGACTCCACAACACGCAGAGTTGTACTTGCGTTTATTTTGGCGGTTACACGCAAGAGTAAACCCGAAACTCAACAAGAGTGATTTAATTTGAACTAGTGTATTTAATTACAAAATTAATAATATAACATCTTAGGAATGTGATTTTTTTCTAAGTGTTTTAAAGGAAGAGATAAGGAAAATCTGAGGATGAGGTTTTTTTTATAGGATAGGGTGACAAACGAGCACACAGACCACCTGATGGTAATTGGTTACTGTAGCCCATAAACATCTACATCTATCTTCGATTAAGAATCAAAATGCAGATGCGCTGTCATCCGTGAGGAATAAGATGGAATGCCTCTTTTCTAGTAAAGAGGGTCCCCGGTTCTCTACACATACCATACGAAACACAGCAGCATTAAACTATTACTTTACGCTGGTATTCTGTGAGAGCGTGGTCCTTCACCGGTCGAGCCGACCCATTAGTGCTACAACTATACTACTAATATAACTGCAGCATTGCTCTACCACGTATAAAAGTATGAGGTGAGGGTAATAAGTAAGAAATTCAAAGCGTCGAAGAGTGATCCAGTGGAAAATGATCAATTTTACAAAATATGTAATTTTGATTATTCTTCGTCTGATAAACATTAATACGAAATACTTAAACTCTTTAATATATATATTCATTATATAAACTTTTAGTGATGAAACTGATTTTACCTTTCCAACGCTATTTAACGAGAGCTTTGTAGGTCTAATGGTGTAACTATAGGTAGTTAATGAGTACAGTTAAAGTCCGTAAGGGCCACTAAACATGTTCCTGTCTGATTGCGCGCAGGTCCTACAACGTATTCAGTATCTTATGCATTCTCGTCATTTGCATCCAACCTCAGCGTCGCGTCAGTATGACAGTATTTACCGGTGGTGCTACTTTATGGTTGCCTGAATAATCCACGAATTAGTTTTACATTTTTTATTTGGTCGTTATATCACGTTAGGCACACCTTAACAAAAAGGATTAGTGTTTTTGTGTATTAAATTCTCCTTTTAATTTTGGAATGAAATAAAAAATACATCGTGAGCTGTCATGATTCTAGTGAGAACAAAAAGCAAAACCAATAAAATTATTGCATTGTCATCGATTCTCAATAAGATTGCAAATTTAAATTTTTCAGTAATCGGAAAGTGTGAACATAAATACATTTGTACATTTGTACTACATACAGGTCAAGCAATAAACCGTGTAATGGAGAATGTTTTTCGACTTAATGAGACATAAGTAAATTAACTTTTAAATCACAAAGTAATTATAGGTACTCTTACTTTGGTTGGTAATAAATTTTTTTTTCTTAAAAATAAAGTTACTTCCACACAAGGATTTTCTCGTGTGTTTACATAAATTTCACTATTACTAACATCCAGACTCGGAACAATTATTTGTAGGCCATAGAAAAACTTGTTCCTTACGGGATTTGAACTCGCGGCCCTTCTACAACTGCAACTCATTGGCTGCGTTTGGCAGAAAAAAGCGCTAGCAAGCGCTTGTGAGCAAAATGGCGATCGTAAGCGGTAAGCGCTGTCAAATCGTAAGTAGCTATTTTCCTATAGGACACGAAGTTAGTTTTAACTGGGGAACCTAACCTAATTTAAATATATGTTTGTAAAGTATTCATATTAAAACTTAGCAATCATGAATTTTTAATAACATGTATATGTTTATTCATGTCATTATATTACTTAAAACTAATATTGCACAAAACAACTTATAAACTCTACTCCAAAACAAACAAATTAAATAAGCAAAATGGCGGATTGTGTCAGCGCTACTGAAGTTAGCAAACGTGTCCTGGCCGAAGTTTATAATTTCGCCATTTTGCTTACGAGCGCTTGCTAGCGCTTTTTTCTGCCAAACGCACCCAATGCTAAGCCTCTACGCCACGGAGCCGTTGATAACAGCGAGTGCGTGGTCGTGAGCTGACAGTAATAACAGGCCGCACGCGCGCCGCCTAATTGATAATGGGCGCGAACGTGCGCTGTCCGCGCCATGGGAATCGCGAACGAGGCAACGCGCAAGCGCACTGCGCAATTTCCCGCGACATTACTGACGAGGGAAATATAAAATACTTGACGAACTTGAGAACCTCTCTCATTTAAATTTTTGTATGCTTGCCTTTTGTAAATATATGAGACTTACGCATAACAAGGTAACGTATCAGTAACATCAATCAGTTCTCGTTTACTGATTAAATTTGATATGAAACTAACATTGTTAGAATTTCTTTTAAAATATAATTAATTAATACCTGATGTATTGTTTGTTAATGTCAAAGATAAATTATTAAGCTAAATGCATAGTGATTTCATGTGTTTCGAAGAGTTTTTTTTAAATTTTAATATAAGTCAGTGCTTGGCCATAATCCTACCTCGACACTGTCTTAATGTAACAGGACCGTAACAGTTGCAGTATCTAAGCTTGTTGTAAAGCAATGGACGATAAGTGGTGGATAAATGATGTTAATACAGTGTAATAATAAGTTAATACGACGTAAATAACAGTCTTATTAATAAAAATCCCTAAGCTATATTACGATGATAATAACCTCCATTAATAAAGTAAGTAACTCTATGAAAACCTCACGTGAGTGAGTGACATTTTTATTGATCCAGTATTTTAATTCAAAATGTCATTAACTCTTTTATTCACAGTGCTATGTATCGTCCACATAAAGAACAAACACTCTAGTTTAGTGGTAAAATGTTTTTTCTATTTATTGCTCTTATTTGCCGAAAATTAAACGATATTAAATAAAAAAATGACGCTTGAGAACAAGCCTGAATTTTGAACACTCCTAGCAAAATACTATCGCTACCGAGAATACTTGGTATCTATGATAAAAATGTCCTAAAACCATTATTATTGTGACTTAACAAATTTATTTCTCGTATGAATAGAACATTCATTTGAGAAACACAAGATTGACATAAAATAGATAAGCATGTTTACATCCAAACAAGTGCTGGAGCGACATTAATTGATTATTTACAATTACATTTCAAATTCAAACTAAAATAAAATAAAAATGTGGGCCAATTAAAAACAATTACATCGACATATTCCATTCTCTGTCACTGTACTCAAACGAGTACAGTTATTACAGTAACAGTTATGTTATTGGACTAGCGTGGAAGTGAGTAGTATTTTTATTATATTTTTATATAATAAAAATACTACTCACTTATATTATATTTTTATTATTATTATTATAATTATTATTTATGTAAATGTTGTTTTTGTATTAATTGTGATAAGATATAGTGTAGTCTATAATGTGAGTTACAAATTTGAAACAGTTATTATTTATTACTAACTTTAGATGAAGATTTTTACTAATGTACTCAGTTGAGTACACTGGTTACTTCAATATATAAAAAATACAACTTTATTTCAGTTTACCATCAATGAGCCGCAAGATGTTTTTCGGTACAAATAGATTTATAGGACTTGACGAAGCAATTGCCGAAGTCACAGCAAATAGTTATGATGACCGTGAATATGATTTGGTGATAATACCACCAAATTCCAGTGTCGTGACTGACGAAGAGGGAGGGACTGATGAAGATATGGTGACATATACGTTGCCACGATATGTGTCCGATAATATTGATGTTATGGTACGTGATGAAGGTACTTTTTCAACCGACTATGATTTAAGTGAGGAAGACCATTGGCCGTAAAATGAGTTCGTCGGAAGCCTAACATTCAGCAGTGGCAGTAAACTCCAGCCTGGAGAAAATGTTCACCATTCTATACTTTTGGCCATCAGCATACGTCTGAGATGCAAGATAAACAAATTGCTATAAAGGAACCTCTGAAAGACCAAAATCCTGTACAGATTTTTGAAAAAATACTGGATGAAGAAGTATTACAGCTCATATTTACTAATAGTATTTTGTACGCTAATCAAAACAATAGACACTCTTTTCAACTTGATTTACCAGACCTAAAAAAGTTCATTGGTATTTTGTTTTTGTCGGGATATCACAAATTGCCTCGGCAAGCATTATATTGTTTGACTCGATGAGGACGTCAGAGTTGCGCTAGTTTCAAGAGCTATGTCGAGGAATAAATTTCGTGAAATAAAAACATATCTTTATCCTGTGAATAACGATGAAACATCAAATTACAGAGATAAAATGTTCAAAATTAGATGACCAAATTCAATCAATGAGGCGTATTTGTACTACTAACTACGATTTCTCTGAACCAATGAGCACGGTAAAAAGATGGTGCCCAGAAATAAGAGAGAAAACCGATGTAAGTATTCCGCTTTTATTCGAAAACTACAATAAAGATATGGGTGGAGTCGATGAGCTTGATCAGTCCATATCATTAGACAGGATCGGGATTTCTGGCAAAAAGTGGTAGTGGGTTTTATTTACATACTTGTTGGACATGGCAGTTTCAAAGGCTTGGCGTTTACATGTTATGAGCAAGGATGGATGGATGGATCAACTTAGTCTTGCCAGATACTATTTGCGACAAGAAACTCTAAAAAGAGCCAGAACATCTTCTTTGGTCAAAGGACTGCCTCAAGTAGCTTCAGGCCACTGCCCAAGGAAGCTTGAAAAGCAATTACGGTGCGTCATTTGCCATGCAAGGGTCCGATAGAGATGCAGGAAGTGTTTGAAAACACTCTGCGTTGAAAAGTCATGCTTCGGAAAATTTCACATGTAAGTAGCCGCTGTACTCAAACAAGTACACTCCTGAAAAAGTATAAAAAATAATTTAAAAAAAATGTTGTTTCATTTTATATTAGCCAGTCCTGCCCAGATTAACAAAATAAATATTTTTCGTTAAAAACGTTTTTATTTGATTTTGGTCACTAATGGGTTAAAACAATTCACAAATATTATTATAACATTGAGTAGCAAATGGTTATAGTCATATTACGTGTCGAAAATCGAAGCACAACTATTGCTATCGTAAATTTCCATCTATGCATATAACTAGTAGTCAATGTAAGTATAAAAATATTAAGATCAATTTTGTTGTGAATGCTTTGGAACTTTAGATGATCTTATTTAAATTAGATTATACTGTATTTAAAACTTAATTTTTTTTATAGGAGAGGGGGAAAACGATCATACGACTCACCTGATGGTAAGTGACTACTGTCGCCTATGATCAATTGTAACACCAGGGGAATTGCAGGTGCGCTGCCGGCCTTTTAGAAAAGAGTAAGCTCTTTACTTGAAGGTTTCTAAGTCGTATCGGTTCGGAAAAATTGCCAGTGGTAAACTATTCCACAGAGAGGTTGTACGCGGAAGAAAATTCCTTATGAAACGTTCAGTGGTGGACCGCCAAGCATACAGATGGAATTATTGAATACGTAAAGTTGAGAATTATTTCATTGCGTACATAGTTTGAGAAAATATTATTTAGGTACTTAGATTATTAGGTACAATATTTATATTGTATTTAAAATTATTAATTTATTAGAATCACTAAATTGGAATATACTATATTATTAATTTCTTAGATGAGAAATTATGAAATTATATCATTACTGTTAGATATTATTATTTGTGTGTTTTTTATTTATTATTTGTTTTTAATTTACTGCATAAATATTTGAACTTCTCATTGCCTATGTTCTATCATAATAAAAGTTAGTATTTACAATAATGGATATTTATTAATAAGCTTGTATGATTTTGTTAATATTTCTGTGATTGATTAAGGTTGAGGCAGTTTTTCATGTTCATCTTTGAAGAGAAAGCTCTTTTTAGTAGTTCATATATAGAACTTTTTTTCAGACGAGAGCGTTCCTAGTTGCTTGTTAACCATGATCCTATTTTTCGCCGTTTACGACATAAATGTCTAACGAGCACACAGTCCACCTCATGGTAAATTGATGCTGTGACATATAGACATTTACATTTATCCTCAATTAGGAATCGAAAATAAGACGTGTTTTCAGTAAAAAGTACCTCCGGTATTCGTTGCTCAACATGCAAAGCACAACAGCATTATGTTGTTATTTTACGATAGTATTCTGTTAGAATAGAACAGAATAGCATATGCTAGACGGAATGTAAGTTTTGAGAGACTTTGTTAAAGATACGCTAATAAAGTTCTCATACTCGTAAAAAAGACGGGGGGCAAGTTGTAGGTATCCATAATAAGCTTGCAAAATATAAAGTGATTTGACAACAAGTCTGTCGCATTAGCCATTTTATTTGTTGTCTCACAGCCTGTTTATAAAATAATAATACTTTAAGAAATTAGAATCAAGAGTTAAAATGTTAGCCCAGATTGTAAAACAATACAACGCTCATATCAAAACACTCTTTTTAAAGATTTACTGTTATTTCATTATGCACATAATTTTTAAGGTTTTTAACTGCCACATTTAACTGCCACATTTAACTGCCACATTTCACCAGAGATTAGTTGATTTGTTTTTAAAAACAATCAAAATATTAATAACTTAAAAAATAAGGTTTGTTAGGACTCTCGAGTAAAATTTGGGATGGTTAATTTCCTTACTCATTATTGCATTTTTTATTTTAACATTTTGTATATAAAATAGGTTCGTAAATTTTACAAAAACTAACAAAAAATACTCCTAAAAAGAAAATATTATAAAAGTTATAAATAAAATAATGTCGTATGCAGAAATAAATTACAAATTTAACATTTGGGAATATTTCAAATAATTCTAGAGTATAATAAATAAATACGTTGAGAATGAAGTAAATAAATGACTAAAATTTGCTTGTTGGTGATAAAACTATTAAAGATAAATGTTAACTTCAAGATACATTAAGTTCATACTGTGTAGATCGGAACAAAAGTTAAATTTTAATTCTATGGTATGGTATTTTAATCTATAACCGCGGTTAACTATGACATCCGGACATTGAACATCTCAGCCCCCCCCCCCCCCCCAGTGACCATGACCATGGGTGCTGTAAAGCGCTTGAAACGTCGGTATTTATAGTTAAATATACGCAATAAAATCCGTAAAAACTAGTATTATTTAAAAAATGTTAACAGGTTTGCGGAGACTCATTACTAATAACACAATATCCATCTTTGACCCGGTTGCAACCTAAATGCAAACATTAGGGACACGCAAGTTGAAAGCAACGCGCTGCGTGTCGATACGTCCCTAATCGTCATGCAAGATATTAATAATTTGATTCTCATACAATTTTAATTACAAATCTTTCTTATAATTAAATTCACATGTCAGTTCACACAAAAACATGTTATTGTACTGTTTATTCATACAAGTATGCCTTAATGGGCACTCGCGTCAGACTAGTGTACAATCCTTTATGTAATCCTAGCTGATCTAAACAATTTAAGTTTTCTATGGTGAAAATTTTTCTTCTGCCTTGTGTTTGATGTTTCTATATCTTTTTTTATTCCTACAAAAACGATATGAAGTGAAAGAATAACATCTAATATTATGTGACACGAGCAACCCGGGCTCGGTCCCCGCAGGTACCAATGATTGTTAATTGCTAATAATTGTAAAAAGTAGGTACACTTAAAATTGCAATTAACAAATAAATCACGTACTCGGCGGTAAAGGAAAACCATCATGAGAGAACCATGTATGAGAAAAAAAATCTTTTGAAGACATGTGAAGTTCGCCAACACGCATTGGGGCAGCGTGGCGGACATATCCTTGCCCTGTGCCCAGTATTGAGACCTATATAATAATAATAATAATCTATATTATACGGTGCCAGGCCTGGGCGTCTCCCGTTAATGGACGCCCAAACCATGGATGATGGACAAAAAGATAGCGCGCAAAGGGCCGCTGCCTGGAGATCACCAGGGCGTGTCTGGAGCTGCGGCATGCGGGCCGCCAGCCGAGCACGGGGTGCTGCAAGATCACCTAGCAGCCCCCCGTATCCATCATCCCCACCAGAAGGCTTGGTGTCGGCTGGGTCCTCTCGGACTCAGCAAGTGGCACCCGCCGCTGGTGGAGCACTGGTTGGGCACAATTGATGAACGCAAACGCACTGCGGGCGTACTTTAGGGCAAAAGGGGAAGAAACTGGATGATTGGCGTATCGGGCTCGGATGCATCGCTTTTTTGCAGAGCTGGAGCCATCTCTATCCTTCACTGAGCAAAACCTGGCAAACCAAGTTGGGTACATCCTGCGCTCCAAAATACTTGGTGACACCGAACTCGAACTACACGCCGTGAGGCTATTCCCTCATCGAATGGAAATGCTATGGTTGGGAATGCGGCGCCACTAGATGCGCAACAAACTGCATATGTGGATGCTGCCGTCAATATTCCATTTGTGGTTAATTCAGATGATGATGGAATAGTCTCCCACGAACTAGAGAAAATGAGGCGCATATTGGAAGAGTCGATGCTGGAAACGCGCAGCATGCCTCTCGAAAATCGATCGCGACTTCCCCGTGGAGTTTAGCAAGCGAAAACGGGCTGTGCCAGCCGGGACCTTTGCGAGACGGACTTAATTCTTTTTGGCGCCGCACTGGCAGTGTGCCGTATTATTGGCGCCAAACTTCCCATGGCTGGACGTGCTACTCGACAAAGTATCGCCATCCCAGCCTGGAGAAAAAGAATCGAGGACAGTATCGCAAAGGCAAGGGCCCTTATCGGTAGACTGACAAGATTCAGGTTGGGTAATAATAGACCGACAGTTGTGCGCACCGTAAGGATGGCGTTTGATGGGACAAATATT